ACATATATGTGTTTTCAGAGGGCTTCTGTCTACCGGCCCAGCCTCGGCTGTGGGCAGGGCCTGGGCACCCTCCCACCACAGCCGAAGGGCCTCCCTGTCTGGCTGGCTTGTTACTGCTGAGAGAGACTTAGAACAATTTTCAGGAGGTGCTTCCAGCGAGCAGAACCCACATGCGACTTCAGCTCTCCTGGTGAAAGGCTGACCCCAGGGCCTCCTTCCCCTCAGGGGATGTTTTCAGGAGATGCGGGTGATGACTGCGTCTCAGTTAGTTGCCTTCCAGAAGCAACTTCCTCAGGCCTCCCTTGTAGCCCCCTAAGGACTCAGCCTTCCGCAGAAGACTTCGAAAACTTTCTGGAAGGCCCACACCAGAATGGAGCCTCCAGGGCATCTTCCTGGAACCTCCCTGGCCACCCTGGACCGGCGCTCCACCCCCACCCCAAGCAGAACTGGAAACGTGTTTTAGGTTCTTGAGAAGACCTGGTACACTCTGGGGACCATGACCGAATCCAGGGCTCCCACCACGTTACCCCGTGTTTGGCCCAGGATGATCCCTGCCACTGGAGGGAGGCTTACAAAGGTTTGCAGTGAGTGTCCTTCAAGAACAGGTCCCAGCCCTGGATGGTGTGGCTCAGGGGACTGAGTGCCAGCCTGCAAACCAAAGGGTCACCGGTTTGATTCCCAGTCTAGGGCACACGCCTGGGTTGCAGGCCAGGTCCCCAGTAGGGAGCCATGAGAGGCAACCACACATTGTTGTTTCTCTCCCTCTCTGTCCACTGCCCTTTGCTTCATCTCTAAAAACAAATAAATAAAATCTTAAAAAAAGAAAATAAAATTGCAAGTTACATACTTTAAAAAAAAGGAACAGACCCCAGTGTCACCGCAGTTGGGCTTGGGGTGCCCTCACGGGGCCTCCCTGTCCCCTCTTCAGAAGGAAAAATATTAAGGACGCACACCCAGCGACAGTGCCCTGCATACGCCTGCAGCCCGGTGACAGCGCTCCCAGGCCTCTCTGGCTGCGATCCCGGGTCCAAGACGGGAAGCTAGAAAATTCCTCAGGAGGGACTCTGGACAACTGGGCATCAAATGGGAACACAGCTGAGCCTAGGACACCCTTCCCCAGCCACCTGCGAAGACCCAAGGCGGTCCCTGTGGGCAGAGGGGACTTCTGTGTGCCAGCAAGCCCGCCCACGCAGTTCCCGGGTGGCGCGCTCCGCTGTACTGCAGTAACAACCTCAGGGGAGCCCGTTTGGAGGTGGCGTGTGCTGCAGCCAGGACCACGTTGCTGACACTCCTGGAACTCAGCCTTGGGCTGGGCAGCCAGACCCCATCCCGTGCTGGCGGCTGCCCAGCTGTGGGGGCCCAATATAAAAGCAGCCACTTAGTGGAGCCAACAACCAGAGGGTCCTGGACGGACCTGCACCCCTAGGTGCCACCTCTACTGGGTCTCACTCGACACGTCTTGGCCCACAGCAGCTGGGGGTGGCCTGGTCAGTCCGGGGCACCACCCATACATCTACCTTGATGGCTGAGGCTGATCTCTGCCTCCGGAGGGGGACTTGGACACTTTTCATGAGGTGCCCCCAAAGAGCACACCCCATGTGGCACTGGCCAGGGCTGGGGGGCCATCCACTGGCTTCCCAGGCCACCCCAACGTAGTCTTCCCTCCCAAAAGAGCTTAAAAATATTCTCAGGGACTGTCTGGCCACAGCCATCAGGTAACCAAGACGGGCACGTACAAATACACCCAGACGCTACGGAGGAAGCAGTCCAATGTGATGCGCTTCCTTCTCTGGGTGCACTCCTGGCAGTACTGCCAGAGCTCTCTGTGCTCCACAGGGCCCCCATCCCACCTGCCTGACAAAGCACGGCAGGCTGGGACACAAGGCCAAGCCAGGCTATGTCATAAGAGGTCTGTCCAGAAGGTATCCAGCCACGTACTATGAAAAAGAGAGACATTTGCCCTGGCTGGTGTGGCTCAGTGGATTGAGCGCTGACCTGCGAACCAAAGGGTTGCCAGTTCAATTCCCAGTCAGGGCACCTGCCTGGTTTGCAGGCCAGGTCCCTAGTAGGAGACGCTCAAGGCAACCACACACTGATGGTTCTCTCCCTCTCTTTCTCCCTCCCTTCCCCTCTCTTAAAAATAAATAAATTTAAAAAAAAAAAGAAAAGAAAAAGAGACATTTATTAAAGAAGATATAAGATACAACAAACATTGTACAGAGGACAACGATGCCTCAGTCCCCTTCAAAATAGGCACCTTGGAACCTCACACAGTTCTCCCAGTCACCATCAGCTGCCCTATCGTATTTTCCTGAATCTCATTAACAGTCTGAAATCTCTTCCCTTTCAAAGGTGATTTTAGTTTTGGGAAAAGCCAGGAGTCACGAAGTGTCAAATCTGGGCTGAAGAGAGCTGAGTCACCTGGGTGATTTGATGTTTCACAAAAAGTTCTGCTCAAGACTGAGCATGCATGTTGTAGTGATGAAGCTGCCAATCACCATTTGCCCATAGCTGCAGCCTTCTGAATCAGCCAAATAGTTTCCGCAGAGGAATATTCAAGCTTATGCAGAATCTGATGCAGATTCATTGCTCTACGCACTCAATCATTTCGGATGCACTGGCCACACAGTACACACGCTCACTCAGTAGCATCTACTGCCCCCACTGACTAGTACAGTGAAGTCATCACTGTTCACGCACGCACATTCCAGTCCATTCTCCTTGGCTTCCAGGTTACAGCGATGTCGCACAAACTGTTCTCGTTATATTAACAATGGCTGGACTTCTTCCAGACAAACCTCATATCAGATTGGGGTGCGCTGTGGAGGCCACAGACACCCTGTTCCTAAGCGCGCTACCTACGGCAAGCCTGTCCATCATGGTGTTAACCAGCTCATGTTTGCTCAGAGCCTTCAGTCTGTTGCCAAGGAGCAAGCTGGACACCATGTGGGGCTCTGAGAGTCCCAAGACCTTACTGGCGTGGTGAAGATTCTGTGTATAAACTCTTTGAGGTGATTCTCATTGGTCCATTCCATTAGGCTATCAGAAGGAACCCTAACACCAAAAGGATCACCAACGCAGCCCACAAGCACAGGCAGGTGTGAGGGCTGCCATCTGCGGGCTGAGAGCTGTGGCCTTGGAAAGGGCCACAAGCCCCGCCGCACTACTGGTGGTTCTCGCTGCGCAGCTTGGAGAAGCCGCGGTACGCTCCAGCTCCACCATTACTGCTAACATGAGTAAAGTTTGTAAAATCATTACCTAATAAACAATTTAGGATAGTCAAAACAAAATATTTTTGAGAAGTACATCTGGCAACTCAGCCCCACATGGGACTGCAGCTGGACCCTCCGGTGGCCCCTCGCCTGCACGGCCACTGCCTCCTCCTAACAGGGGAGCTGGAAACATTTTCCAGAGGCATACGTGCCACATGAGGTCCACATGTGACCATGGCTGGGCTGAGAATCATCTTCCTTCTCCTCCCCAAGCAGCTAGAGCCTGTTGCCTCTCCAGAAGAAAACTGATTAAAAAAAAAAAAAATTGCAGGGCAGGAAGCACATCCAGCAACTGTAGTTCAGCCCTAGTCTCCACAAAAAGTCATAGAAACTTTTCAGAAGGTGCCCCTAATAACCAGGACCCAAGAGTGACAGCACCTGGGCCCATAGCACCTCCATGGGTCTCCCTGTCCAGACCAGGCCAGCGCCTCTCCTTCAGATGGGGTCATGGCTATGTTTTCAGGAGGCACCGCCAGGTGGGTCCCATGTGGGGACCCATGCAGAACTGCAGGCTGGCCGTCGTGGCCACCCTGAGTCTCTCTGGCTAGCTTGTGCCAGCCCCATCACCAAAGGAAAGAGAGGTCCACAGGGCTGTATCCAGCCATCAGGCCTCATGCAGGACAGAAAAAGAGCAGAGGAACCTCCACCATCTCCCTGGCCAGCCTAGGACAGTGCCTGCGTTTGGAAGCGGACTTGGGTAAGTCTTGAAGTGATGCATGCACAGCTGGGCCCAAGATAATCATCCCTGGGGCACACGGCCCGGCCCGTCCTGATACCTGCCACCAGAGGGGTACTTCTAAGCAATTTTGGTGGGCTCAATGCAAGTCAGCAGACAGCCCTGGCACAAACGCCCGGGGCTACCCTGGCGGACTCCTCTGACTCCCTGTTCTGGAGGGAAATTTTAGAAAGTTTTCAGGAGGTGCACCCAACTGAACCCCATGTAGAATAGCAACTACACAGAGCGCCCTCCTTGGATCTCTCTGGTCCACTTCTTTAGAGGATGACTTAAAAAATTTTCAAAGGCACATCCAGTACCCACGTCCCATCAGTGACTTCATCCAGGGCCAGGGTGCACTCCCCAGAGGTTCCTAGTCAGCCTATCCCTCCCAACTTGGAAATATTTTCTGGAGGCGGGGGAGGGCTGTCCCTGGCTCTGGCCCATCTCCTCACTGGTTCAGCCCTCCCCTTCCCAACTGAGCCCCAACCCTCCCCAATTAAACTCTGCCCCCTTGACCACAACTAAACCACACCCCTCTGCGGCCTCAGTGCCCTTCAAGGGACCTGACACAGAAGTCACTTCCGACTCCAAACCTCGTATTCGATCCCAAGGTCTCCTTCCAAAGCGGACCCCAGGGCGCACCAAAACAAGGGCATACCAGGCTCTCTCCACCTCTCCATCCCAGGCCCTGCTTTCAGACCTACCTCTGAAGCCACTTCCTCCCCCAGGGCCTCCAGATTCCTTGCCTGGTTCGCTGCTGTCTCCTCAAGACAGCTGTACAATGGCCTAAGTGAACGGAGGAGGGAAGCAGGAGTGGGGGACAGAGTAGGGAATGAGGCGGAGTGTGAACAGTACAGGCTCTGGTGTGAGGATCCAGGCAGCCAACTGACCTCCCGGCAAGGCCTCCGGTCAGCGTCAGCTAGAGTTCGCAGACCTTTCTGGGTAATAAATTCTATCACCCTCAAAAAAAAAATAAATACACACATTCAGTCACACCTTGACCCAAGGCTTGCTAGTGGCACTTTAATGGCTTTCACGGGTGGCAGCAGCAGCAAGAGAAGGGGATCAGACTGGAAAGGGGGCAGCCTGGCCCCAGCAGGTCTAGCTGTCCTCCCACTGCACGGAGGCCAGGAACGTGCGGATCTCCATGGGCTGCAGTGTGATGCTGGCAGGGTCCAGCCTCGAGGGAAAGGGCTTGAGGGTGGGGCCTGGGGAGATGCAGGGGAAGAGTGAGCGCTGCAGACTTCCTCTGCCCCCCTCCCTCACCCCGTGCTCCCTCCCCTGGGCCTGGACACAGCCATACACCCTCAAATCTGCCCCCAGGGTCTCACTACCAGACTCTTCAACTGCTCCCCCGGGCCTGGATACCGCTCCTAGCTCCCAAAATTCCTCCCAACGCCCGGCCACTGCCCCCACACCCTCAAGCCCCATTTCAAGGATTGTCAAGCCAACCCCAAGGCTGATGAGCAACCCCACCCCACCTCCAAACGAGACACTGACAGAGACCCAAATCTTGTTCTTAGGACTGCACACCAACCGCAGACACCCAAGAGCCACCACTAGTTTGCTGGACCTGCTTAAGACCCTTAGACCCCTAACCTGGATCTGAACGATGCCCGAGACTGTGGAGCTGGACCTGGGTCCCGGCCAACATCCCGCAACTGCCACACAGCCCCCTGCTCCCGGTCACCAGGGCAAGCACCCACCCGTGTTCTGTGTCCACTGGAGTCTGGAGGCACTGGCCCGAAGCTGGTTGGCGGCCAGCGTGGTCTCCTTAAGGTCGGTGATGGTGAAGGCAGAGAACAGGTCCTGCAGGCAGTGGGCGGGGCGGGGCGGGCAGAGTGGTGTCAACGCGGGGTTTCCCCTCTCCCCTCTCTAGCTTCTCTCCTTCCCACCTCTGCCCTCTTTACCCTCAAGTCCAAGGTAACCGGAGAGCTCAAGTTGCCGCCCTTGTCCTCCCCTACGGCGAACTGGTGTTCAAAGCGCAGCAGCAGCATTTTAGGGCCCCAACGCGCCAGTGTGAGCAGGTGTACATTGGGCGGCAGCTCCCGGCGGAGTCCCGAGAACTGCGAGAAAGGAGCCAGGGAGACCGGGAGTCCAGAGAGGCGGGGTTTAGCCTAGGTCCTGGGGACGGGATTTAACCTGGGCCTGGGCGACCCGGCTCAGCCAGGAAAGCTGGGGCAGGGGGCAGGGGACGGGGAGCGGGGGGGAGGGGGCGGCGCGGGTTGGGGGGCTGAACCAATGAGGGGATGGGGCAGTGCCAGGTTAGACAGCCCCGCCCCACCTCCGGTCTCGCTCGCTCCTCTTTGCTGGCCCGCGCCCCTCACCTGCTTGCGCGGGGCTACCCCCAAGTGGTAGGGGATGCCGCCACCCGGGGCCAGCACCACCTGCGGGGCCAGGAGCTCCTTTTCAGCCTGCAACCGGTGCCTGACAGCCGCGGTCCGGGCCTTATCCAGCAGCACAAGGTGGCGCCCTCGCACCCACAACCCCAACCCGTTCTCCAGCAGCGGCTCCCCGACTCCACGTTCGTCGTCTTTCAACAGCCTGCGGTGCAGCTGCGGGAAGAGAGGCCAGGGGCGGGTGAGGACCCCTCTGGCCAATTTTGCGGCCAGAAATTGCGAGAACTTTAAAAGAAATAGAAGACTCAGGGGGAGGGGGGAGGCGGAATCAGATGAAAATGAAGGCCTGGTAGGAGGGACCGCAGCAGAAAGGCGGATCCTGCCTAGGAGAGAACTAGGACAGTGGGAGGTAAGGACCTAGCGGAAGCCTGGATAGAGCAGGTCAGGACCTGGAGGGGGCGCCTGGGTAGGGACTGCATAAAAAGAGTGGAATAAACTTCTCACATAGGAATGGAGGTCTCAGCTTAGTAGAACCCCAAACGGAGGGGTGCACCTAGCAGAGAACTGGGACGGAAATTGGCTTCAAGGTCCCGCAGGGGGCCAGGGGGGAACTGGTGGGAGAACTCTAGCTTAGATGGGGCTTGGACCACTCACCATGAGCTCTACGGAGCCATCTCTCAGGCTGCTGCCCCCCTGGGAGCGATCCGTCAGCACCGTCAGCTGCACTTTCCCATCCTAGAGGGGAAGGGGTGGGGCTAAGGAAGCACACTGCCAGCCAGCCCCGGCCCCGGCCCCCAGGCAGACCCCACAGGGGACGGTGGACACTGCCAAGGACAGTTGGGAGATGCGAAGAATGAAGGGTGACCCCCTACTTTGTAGAAGAGTATCCAGAAGAGATGGGACTGGGGCAGGTACCGTAATATAAATGCGGCTGTTGACTGGATAGTAGTTTCCTGCCACTGGCTCAGTCTGGTTCAACTTCCAGGCAGGTCGGTAATTCCTCCTGGGCAGGGAAGAAATAGGGTCCAGTTTGGCCCAGGCTCTGGGTCCCCTTCCCCAGCTCCCCTTTCCCAGGTCGCTCCTCATTCCCACTTCATCCTCCCCCTTCCGCACTCATAGAATCAGCAGGCGCCCCAACCACCCACGGGCCCCAACACACCACAGACCACCCCTCAGTGCTCCGTCACCCCCACCTCCTCTCCAGGATCTCCCGGCCATTGCTGTCAGTGAAGAAGTGTCCTTTTGTCTCCAGCGGAGTGTCAAAACGACTGATCACTTCCTTCCCCCAGTCATCACTGTACTCAAAGGAACGGCAAGGTGGTGAGCCTGGCCTACCTCCACTCTGCCCTGGTCCCCTCCCCTTGGTCCCAGCCTGTGCCACTCACCCCACAGGTATCGGTCCCACCGTCCACTCCAACTCCAGGTGCCGCTGACCTGGGTACAGACGAACCACCTGGGAACACCAGGCTGAGAAGTTCTGGTGCACCTCCTGAACCAAGGCCGTCTGCAGGCACATCGGGCAGGTGTGAGCCCACATCTGAGCGGAGGTGAACCCTACAAATGTCCGCCCCTCCTGGGACCCTCACAAAGGCTGGGGTCAGGGTCAACCCCACTGAGAGCAGGAGAACACCGTCTACCTCTCCCACCTGCCTTGGTGTGATGCCCACACATCTCACCACAATCACTGACACATGATTCTTGAGTGTGGCATACATGCTCGGTAGCCACCGCTACCCCGTCTCCCCTCCTTAGAATAAGATTCTAGCTGGGCGTATGGCTACCTAGAATAAACTATATAGTCCAGTCTTCCCTGAGGCTATCAGTAGCTGTGTGACTATAGTCTGCCCATTGGAAAATGATCAAAGTGGTATGACAGCATTTCTTGCCCCTTTCCTTCTCCCACTAGCTCAGATGCAAAAATGATGGCTGGAGCTTAAGCAGCCATCTTGGGTCACGAGGTAGAAGCTAAATGTTAAGGAAAGCAAAGCAATAAAATAGAAGGGGCCTGAATGACTGTGGAACCATGCCACCTACCCTGGATGGCCCAGCCAGACTTTCTGTTCCATGGAAAGAACCTCTTATTTTAGGCACAGTTAATTTGGGTAACTCTGTTACAAGAGTAAAGCTATACCCTAACTCCTGTAGGCAGACATTCACTGCAACGGGAGTCATGTCAAAGGTGAGTCTTACACCTTGACTGGTGTGGCTCAGTAGTTTGGGCGTGGTCCCACAAACCAAAAGTTTGACAGTTCGATTCTGGGTCAGGGCACATGCCCAGGTTGCAAATTCAATCCCCAGCTGGGGTATGTATGAGAGGCAGCTGATCAATGTTTCTCTCTCACATCCAAGTTTCTCTCCCTCTTTTTCTCCCTCCCTTCCCTTCTCTCTACCTTACCATCACCTGCCCCATTCCCACCCTAAGGGGAAATGTCAGCAAGAGACTCCAGGAAACCACACAAGCATGAGGCCCTGTTCCCAACCAGATGCACGCACAGAAAACCCCCCTAATTGAGAATCACCCAAGCCCTATCCAAGTGTGAACTCTCCAATATGCACCCCAGATGTAATCCCATCCTAGCACAGATCCTTAATGAACTCAAGTAGTTCCACCTGGCTCTCCCCATTCATGAGCCAAGTAGGAACACCCGCAGTTTCAAAAGCAAAGTAGAATACTGACACCGACAGCTGATGTAAATACTTTTGTATGCCACAGCATACCGAGCTGATGAATATCAGCCCTACGGAAGGGTCCTCAAGTCTTCCCCTCAGATCTTAGCCCTCTGATCTGATGGAGACGTAAATCCTTCCCCCACCCCCACCCCCACCCCCACCCCACACACTGCACACCACCCTCCCAGGCTCCACAGAGCCCACAGAGTCCGCTCATCATCCCTGGCCCCAGACCTTCACCAGGCGGGTCTGAGCCCAATGGCTCATGGGCAGTGGTTCCTGTCGACTGGGTCTGAAGATGTAGGCACCCGAGACCTGGGTGCTTAGGCTGTTGCCTGTACTGGCGTTGTACCTGGGGCCGGGTTAGGTGAACGTCAGGTAAGGAAATCCAGCTCTGTTCCCACCTCCTCCCTGGCCTGGTGGTCCTCCCTCACCAGTAGAAGGCTTGGCGAACAGGCAGCAGTAGGTCCTGGTCCAGGTTCTTTATCTCCATCAGGAACCCTGTGTCAGGGTCAAACCTGGCCCTGATGTGCTGGGCGTAAAAGGGGGGACAGATGTTAATGACCATCCTTTCAGCCAAGGGCAGCTTTATCCTTCCTGGGACTCAGGAGAAAACCCTGGAGTCGCCCTTCCCTCCTCTCTCTCTCATTCCTCACCCCTGACCCTACTGGCAAGTCCTAGCAGCTCCACCTTCTACCGTATCCTCAATCTGACTGCTTCTTGCCGCCGCCAAGGCCCTCCAGGACTAGTGCTACGGACCCCTTCCTGGCCTCCCCAGTCTGTTGCCTGCCCATAGCCACCAGGATGCACTGTGTCCCCCAAATCCAACCTTTAGCTGGTCTTCTGGGGGTCCAAGGCTGCTTATGCAACTGATAGGAATCACAGTGCCAGGTCCACGAGACTTTTAAAGACCCATGGAAATTTATAAATTTCAATTTCCTTTAGAGCGTTTGCATCTGCTGCTCCCTCCCTCCCTGCCTGCCTGCCTGCCTGCCTGGATCCCTTTTGCCCCATGTAGCTTCCAAATGGCCACGTGGCTCCCCGCCTCAAGTCTCTGACACACCTTCACTTAATTTGCAAACCCCAACCACCATCAGCATTGACGTATCTGTCAAACGCCACCCATGATCACACTAGGCCCTCACAACAGCCCCAGTAGAGGATGTTAAGACTCAAAGCAAGGTGGTCACTCGGTCAAGGACACACAGTAGGGTGGCTGGTGACACTAGACCATGAACCCAAGACCCACTGACCCAGAATCAGTACAGTTCACCATGGCACCTCAAATTTGTCACCATGGCAGGAAAGGGAACCTGTATGGGGTCTCACCTCGTTTTGGATGGTCAAGACATGGGACGAGGACTTGATGCGAGACGCGTGCTTGACGGGGGACGTGTGCTTGACGGGGGACGTGTGCTTGACGGGGGACGTGTGCTTGATGCGGGATCTAGACTGGTGGATGCGAGCCTGTGGGCTTTGGCGGGGCACCTTGGTGACTGAGTAGATACTAAAGCCAAGGGCAGGCACCGAGGCTGAGAAAAGCAGCTCCTGAATGTCTGAGCTGGGCATTGTCACCACCTGAGGTGAGGGAGAAGGGAAACTGGTTCAAGAGGCTGTGTGTACACCTGTAGAGGTACACGTACAGAAAGGGGTCACGCTCCAGAAGGGGAAGAAGTCCCAGGATGGGGAGAAGAAATTTAGGTGTTGGGTGGGGGGTATGGAGGGGACAGAAATTCTGAGTTAAAGATTGCAGAAAAGAAAAGAGAAAACAAAAAAGAAAAAAATACTTCAGGTAGAAAACCACCACCAGGAGGAGAGACTGTGGAAGGGGAAAGAAGTGAGGGAATAAGTCGGAGAAGAGGTCTTTGAGGCAAGAGAGTGACGGAAAGACACAATTTTCAGGGAAGGAAGAGGTTCATGGGAAGAGGCCTTCCAGAATGAGATAATATTCATAAAGAGAAAAATCTGTCATGGGGAGATATTAAAAAGGGACAGATATTCACGGGGGAAAAATGTTGCCAGGAGGTGTTACATTAAGGGACAATGCAGGGGGGGGGTTGGCGGGGGAGGGGGGGTTAGATTCAGAGGAGGAAAAAAACGCACTGGGCCGGAGGTATTCATGGAGGGCGCAGGTAACCAGGAAGGTGTCCGTGGGGGGAAGGGAGAAATGCCCATAAGGAGAGGTAGTCATGGGAGTAGGGTATTCAAGGGAGGAATATTCATCAAATGGGCTCACATCGCTGGGCACAACTGTGCCACTGGGATCCTTCACAAGGAAAGTGTGTTTGCTGACTGGAAGCCGCACCATCCAATCTACTTTCCTCCCCAAGGGGTTATAAATGGTCACCTGGAACTGGGGTGGGAGGATGGGAGTGGGCATGAGTTACAGGAGGCCTTCTCCAAACCCACCCACAGTGAACAGCGGCTGCCCCGGGTGATCCAAGCCCCCATGCGGTCTCCGTCCCGCCCCAGCTTCACTGAGCCCCCTGTAGTCTGGCCCAGAGCGATCCACTAAAACAGTTCAGCTACCGGCCCCACCTCTTCGCCTCGCACAGTGGGTTCCCAGGCTCAAGGGACCTGGCCGCTGGCCCCGTCCCCCACCCCACCCAATCCCTTGTCCCAGGCGCTGCTTACTCTCTCTGCAGATTGGCTGAGTGGACACTGGCTAATATTGAGGTTGCGGCAAAAAACGAACTTCTCTTTGGAGCCGCTGAGCCGCGCCAGTGCATTGCTCAGGAGAACCTGGGAAGGAGCGTAAAGGAAAGGGTCGGCTCTGCAAGCCCACCGCGTAGCCTCCTCCCCCCACCCAAGCCCGCCCACGAGCCCTTTCTAGGCCTTCCTTAGGTCTCCGCTCGCTCCGCACCCCTTCTTAGCCCTTCCAGGGCCTGCCCCATTCCAGTCTCCGCCCCTCTCATCCCAGGCCCCACCCCACGACCACTTAACAGGCTCCGCCCTGCTGCCTCGTCCTGCCCCGTTCACGCCTACACCACTCCTGCCACAAGCCCCACCCCACTAGCACTTCTAGACTCCACCTCTTGTCTTAGACCACGCCCCTTCCTGACTCCGCCCTCAGGCCCCGGGCCCCGCCCCACACACCTCGCAGGGGCCCCACCCTGCTGCCAGCTGGCGTGCGTAGTCGTCTGCAACGTGTTGCTTGGAGGTCCCACTGACTGCATCGTGGTGCTGAAGCACAGCCATTGCCTCGTCTGCAGGTAGATGGTGGTGAACGAGTTGTGGGCCAGGTAGGGTCTTTGCAGGACTCTGAGTCCCGACCCCAGGGAGATGCGAAAGGTCATGTGCGGGATGGGCAGGGTTCTTTTGGGCCTTCAGAAGGGACTCAAGGATGTGGCCGTGGTCTGGTGTCCAGCTTGAGCCCCACCCCCATCCCCTCACCAGCCAGACACCTACTGAGGGGTGCACTGTCTCCAGAGCCATAGGGTCCCACGTTGGCCGCCGGGCCGGCCAGCGCTTCCAGCTGGTTGCACACCTTGGGGGCAGGGAATATGTTGAGGCATGAGTACTGTCGGGACCCCACCCTACAGACAAGCGCCCACTTACCTGCAGGAAGTTATAGCTGAGGCGTTCGTAGCGTTTGAGCGCCGGACGGCTAGAAAAGAAGCCAGTCCAGAACTGGTGGGGCCCATCCGCATAGGGGAAGAAGTCATCCTGTTTCACCGACCTGCCGAGGCATTGTGGGCGGGGTCACTACCCGCAGGGCAGGCCAACCCTCCCACGCTCCCCAGGCGCCCCATATACCAGGTGAGGTTAGCCTTGTTCAGCTCCCAGAGGTAACAGGCTGGAGTGGAGTAGAGAACATTGACACGGCTCCCGTTGGCCTGCTGTTGGGGGAAGGTGTGCGTGTGTGAGCCTTTGGAGCCTGAAACTTTCTGGCGGTTGAGCCCACAGGTGTGCAGTTCATACACACATGTATGCGTCCAGTGGGTTCATATTCCCTTCATTCACATTTTGAGTGCAAACCAATAACCAAGTGTGAAAATGTACTTTGGCCAAACCTAAATATTACCAGCCTATAAAGAATTTCAGCGATGTAAGAAGAAATCTGAAATTTTACTAAACTTTTTAAATAATTTCAATTTTACTATTTAAAACTCTTGTGGAAAAACTGAGTATGACATATAGGGCAGGAATAATAATTTCTCTGCACTGTCAGGTTACCGCCAAATAACACAATTGTTAACACTAAATAAAGGCTCACTTTCAACTGAGGGAGGTAGAGGAACAAGAAGGTGACCTCTTCCATCAGGAAAGGGTGTTTGTACCAGTGCCTGGTACACAGTAGGTGCTCAGTCACTCACCTGAATGAATGAAGGGAAATGCATGGGACCACATGCCCTTATGTGCATACACACATCTACACTTCTGCACACACAGTCACATATACACAGTTACACACACAGACCCACACACACACTGTATTCACTCAGCAATCACTCAGGATTGCTGACACAATCTAGAACCAGAGGCCAGCCCCAGTCTCGTGGAATTCACAGTCAAGTGCAGAAGAGAGATTGAATGGATAGGCAGCTGGTTACAGTCAGCCTGGACGTTGCAGGTACTTGTGAAGAGCGGTCTGAGTACAGAGGAAGAGCAAGAGGCTTCCTGGAGGAGAAGACGTTGCAACTGGTATCTTAAAGGAGAAGCAGAATGTTTTCAGCCCCAAAGAATAAGAATAATAAACAAAAACATAATGCTTATTACTTGCCCAGCACTGTTCTAATGGATCTGTGTAAATGAACTCAAACTCTCATCCAGAGCCCTGTCAGGTGAGAACCACCATTATGACCATTTTCTAGATAACAATACTGAGACACCGAGTGCTGAACATTTCTTAAGGTCACAGAGCCAGTAAGTGGCAGAGCTAGGATTCGAACTGAGAGATTCCCATTTCCATAGAATGGAGTGGGTAAAGGAGCCTTCAGTGGCAGGAGAAAAACTATGAAAGTGTGGCATGCTGGTGGCCCAGGAACATGACATTTGCAGAAGGAAGGGACCAGGGTGTTCAGGCTCCTCACAGGCATGGAAGGGCTGAGAAATGTCCTCTGGGAGGCCCTGGTGCCATTACTGAAAGCTGTTTTGGTGAAACAACAGTGCAGGGAGTGTGTGGAAGGTGAGGACATGGAGACTGTGCTGGCAGACGACTCTGAGGATGGAAGCAATGGGAAGGGACGTGTTAAATGGAAGAGGGGGGACAATGTTCTGTGCTGATGGGAGAGTGACTGCCTGCCCACACAGCCACAGGCCACTTACAAGGGCCCTACCAACACATGCACGTTAGGCAAAAATGTCCATGTCCTAATGCCCAGAACCTGCGACATGGCAAACAGGAATTAGGCTTCCAGCTGGAATTAAAGTTGCTAATCAGATGACCTTAAAACAGAATATCCTGCATTATCTGGGTGACCCCAATGTAATCACAAGGGTCTTTAAAAGTAGAAGAGGAAAGAGGAAGAAGTGAGAGCGAGAGGAGACGTGATGGCAGAAGCAGGATCAGACTTTGAAGGTGGAGGAAGGGGCCGTGAGTCAAGCAATGTGGGCGGCCTCTGGAAGATGGACGAGGCCAGGGAGCTTCCCCCTAGAGCTGCCAGAGGAATGCGGTCCTGCCGAATCTTGAGTTTAGCACAGTGTAACCTGTGTCGGACTTCTGACCTATAGAACTATAAAGCATATGTATTTCCTTTGTTTTGAGCCACTAAATTTGTGGTGATTATTTAGTCACAGGAGCAAGAGAACTAAGAGAGCACCCATAGCTATTCATCTGACCCAAGGCCCAGGGACACAAGCACGCATGTGCACACACGGTGGGCCACACTCACCTGGGCATTGACCAACCGGATGAGCTTATCAAGGTTCTTGAACCATATGTTGGCATTCTCGTACTGGAAGTCTGAACCCATGGTCATCACGGTGTGGTTGCTGCGGTAGAACCGGCCCTGCAGACAGAATGGGGTGTCCTCAGGCCAGAGTGTCCTGGCCACCCCTGTGTACAGCTGTGTCTTGGCATATTATGTGGTCAAATGTGGGTGCACGGTTGCATGGGAAGGGGGGTGTGTGGAAGTGTGTCACATCGATATATAAGGACATGAGTAAAAATAGCCACAAGTTGCCCTGGCCTGGTAGCTCAACTGGTTAGAGCATCATCCCAATACACCAAGGTGGTGGGTTTGATTCTCAGTCAGGACACATGCAAGGATCAATCAATGAATGCACAAATAAGTGAAACAACAAACTGATATTTCTCTCTCTCTCTCTCTCTCTCTCTCTCTCTCTCTCGCCACCCCCTTTCCCTCTCTTTAAAATTAATTTTTAAAAATTGCCAGAAGTGCCCTGGCTGGTGTGGCTCAGTGGATTGAGTGCTGACCTGCAAACCAAAGGGTCACTGGTTCGATTCCCAGTCAGGGCACATGCCGGGGTTTTGAGCCAACTCCCCAGTGAGGGGAGCTGGAGAGGGAGCCACACATTGATGTTTCTCTCCCTCTCTTTCTCCCTTCCTTCCCCTCTCTAAAAATAAATAACTAACTAAGTTGCCAGAAGTTATTGAGTAATTCTCAGGCCTGCCACACAGATGAGAGTACTGAAGCGCCACGCGATGCTATCTCATTACCACAGTAAGTATGCACAGTGGTGAAGAGGCTCACACGCTTCTAATCAGAAATACACAAATCCAGAAGGAGGACAGGGTGAGGGTGAATGGAATATTATCTTCCTCTGAGGGTATGAGGAAGTATTAGGGAATCAGACCCTGGCCATGGGAAGGGCCCAATGCATCATACACACCAGTCTTCCAGGCTCTGGACACCGGGGTTACCTGGGCAGTAGCTAACTGTAGGAAGTAATCGACCAGTTCTTTGGCATTGTACTCAGGGCTGCGGGGGTCCTCCACGATGGGTTTGTCAGCACACAGGACATCCCAGCACAGATGCTCCGGCGGGTTGTACATGTTGGGGAGCACGCCTGTGGGCCACATCAGGCTCAGGGTCGCCCAGCGCTCCAGACCTGTCCTGGGGTCAAAGCTCGCCATGCCCCACCGAAATCGGACTTCAGAATTTGTGGGAGCCCAATGTAAAGTGCAAGCGCTGGGCCCTTAGTCATAAATTATTAAAAATTTCAAGATGATTAACAGCGGAGTGTGAAACCAAGCCCAGGGCTCTTCCGAGTGTGGGGTCCTGGGTGACTGCACAGGTCACATGCCTTTGGTGCTGGCCCTGCCCCCACCTCTCTACCCCCTTACTGGTGAAGAGGTCAGCAGCTGGGGGCTTCAGGCTGGCACTGGCCCGCCACACCTGCTCCATCTCGAGATTCTTCATCCGCACGAACTTATCTTGATAATCCAGGCGCCCGAAGAAGAAGCCGTCAAAACCCATCTGGAAGTGGGGTAGGATAAGGAGTGGGAACAAGGGCAGATGACTAAGTGCCCAGCCCCCCACCACCACCCGCCAGCCCCCTCAGCATGGGAGGGATGGTAAGAGCACAGAAAAGAAGCAGGTCTGAAACCAGAGAGGCCTCCAGCACATTTGGAAACTTAGGGAAGGGTCAAAATGCACCCTAGGAAAGCTGAAAGGGAGTGGGTCCAACGCTAGAACCCACCTCCACCTTCCAGAAAGGGAGTCTGACTCAAGGAGAGCCTCCCCCTCTGGCAGGCTGAGGATGGAAGGGGTCAAGATGCGCTAGTCAAGAAGCCAGTTGCAAAGCAGGGCAGGCCTCCATCTGCTCGCTGGCTTGGGGAGGAGCTAGGGTTCTAGCAAACTGGGTGGGATCAGGATAGGAGGAGTCACCATCTGCAGGGGGTGGCCAGCCTGGGCTAGGGCGGATGGGCCGAGGCCAGAGCTGCAAAGGAGTAGGTCTCCAGAGGCAGGGTCTCAAGAGGTCAGAGGGACAGGGAACAGGGCCTGGTCCGTGTTAGCCTGCAAGGAAGGGCTGGGCTTCAGGGGCCAAGGGAGGAGTCAAAGTGAGTGAAGGGGCAGGTACAAGGGAAGTGGGGAAAAACACCTGTGCGAACAGTGAGGCCTGCTCCCGAGAATGGCCGAAGGGGTCAATGTGCCAGGCCACACGGGGGCGCCCGTCATTGCCAAAGGTGTCCTCCAGGAAGCGCAGCCCTAGTGTCATCTGGTCTATGATGGCTCCGTAGTGGGTGGCCGCCTCATCATTCATCACCCAGCCACCGTTGGCAAACTCCAGGCGCCCTGTGCCAGAAGGGGCAAAATCTGGGTAGGCTGTCAGGGCCAGGAGCGGGGCTGGGGTTGGCAGTGCAGGGCATGAGAAGATCTGCCTGCATGCCCAGGCCTGAAAGGAGAAGAGGGGTCTCTCCCAGGCCAGTATATCCAGATATGGAACAGAGGGCCCCCTGCATGCCAGGCTTCCCAAAGGATCCATCGGCAGTGGAGCCTTGTAGGATGCCTATGAGTCCTACAAATAAAGGGAAATTCCTGGCAGGCAAGTCACATGCATATACATTCTGCACATAGCATGAGATAATCTCAGAAGCCATGGTAGCAGAAACAGAAGCTAAGCTGGGCTTCCTCTTTTCACTTCCTTGGGGCAGCTCACCCTGGCGCACCAGGTCCCGCACAACATCCTGTGTTGCATTTGTCTGTTGATGCCACCAACGGGAGAAGAAGGCCATCTCCACATAGACAAAGCGACGGGTGGGCTCCGCCAGCAGGGAAGAGATGACGGAGTCTAGAATGTACTGAACGCCCGCATGCTGGATGCTAGTGTAAACTGTGGGCACAGGGGTCAGGCAATCAAGGATCAGCAAGCCAAGGGGAACATTCCTAGACAGCCCCGTTCTCGCGCAGAGCCACCTCTCACTGACACCAAGCACGCACTCAGACCACGCTGTCATAAAAGCACCCTTTTCTGGCTGGGCATTGCCCCCACCCTAATATCCAGGACCCAGAAAGGATTTGAAGGGCTCAGAGGGATCATGGGAGTCCCAGGAGTCAGTCCCCGCCATCTACTCACTGCCATAAAAGTACTGGTCCACTGTCTTGAGCCAGCCCACGTCATCATGCGTGTGGGCCACCAGGTGAACGTTGAGCATGTCCGGCTGCACCGTGGGGCATTTCTGCACAGGGATCCCCAAATGCACACTCACACACCCTGTCTCTTAGCCCAAGGTTAAGAGGAAGGCTGATGTGGGAGTGGGGATGGGGGGCACAAGCTAAGTCGATCTACAGATGAGTGACTCAGAGAGGTCAGGCCAGGCCCTTCCAAGAAGGAAACACACACATAGCTGTGCTCACAGATACAACTCCCTAGTGGCACAACTCCTCAGGGCAGCCTTCATTCACACCCTGGGAAAATAATAATAGTAGTAGCTAAAGTTTATTAAGTATTTGTAAATACCAAGCAGCCACCTTGTGGGAGGGGGACAATATTATCTCCAGTTTTCAGATGAGAGCACTGAGATCAGAGAAGTGACTGGCCCACACAGCCAGGAAGTGGAGGAGCCAGGCTGGAACTCCAGGCCAGCTGACTCCAGACTTCCAGTTCTCCACCAGCACCGTCCCTCCCCCCCACCCCCACCCCTACCCCACACACGCCCAATCACACAGCTCAATGCATGCAAAGTCCAGGCAAGCCGACCCACAGAAGCAAGGAGACAGGTACAGGCAGCCCCGTTCTCTGACGCGCAGAGCCAGACTCCTCACTGACACCAAGCACGCACTCGGACCACGCAGTCTTAGCAGCAACCCTTCACCAGGCATCCACAGAACAGACCCACCCCCACCTCCAGACCCTACTCGGAGCTTCCCTCTGGGTCAGGGACATTTCCGCTCGCGGGCCCCGCTCACCTCGTATCCCGCGGCCCGAGCGCTAGGCACAGCCAAAAACAAAAGAAGGAAAGAAAGAGGCGGGATCGGTGGCCCCATTGCGACCCGGCCGCCGCCAGCGCGGACCCCAGAAGGCCGCGCGTCGGCTCCCATAGCCCCGCCACCGCCACAGCCTCCTCCACTGCTGCCTCTAGTGGGTTCTCGGCAAAGCTAGGGCCGGGTAAAGGCCCCGCCCCCGGAACCCGGTCTGGCCAATGGGCGCCTGTGGGGGCGGGGTTAGGACGCAGCGGGGCTCTTCGAGGGACAGAGGCCTTGGTTTGGGGTGCTCCTTGGGGCACCGGTCATGTTCCACCCTCGGAGTGCTGGTTTGGCCAGAGGAGCCTTTAGCGTTTCGTCGCCGACGTGTGGACTTGGAGTACTCTTTTGTCCCCATAAGCGAAGAGGGCTCAGATTTTCCTACTGGTGCCGGGTTGGCCTAAAAGGTGGAATGAGTTGCATGGATGGTCCTAAAGTGTTCCATTAACCTTCAGGGCTCGGGTCCTGGAGGGACCTAGCCTGGCTAGGAGAAGGAGTTAGTGGGGGTCCTGTGCCGTCCAGCAGGGTTTGAGACGTTGGGTAAAGGAACTGCTCCTGGAGTGCTGGGGGTGGGAAGCATCCCCCTGGTTGGGAGAATTCTCCGTGTTTGTACACACAGACCCAGGAAAAAGCCCCAGTACTGAAAAATCTATCTCTATAATAAGAGGGCAGGAAAAGACCAAAGAAAGAAAGAGGCTGGTCATAAATGGAGATTAAGGGAAACTTACACAGGAGGCATGTCTTGGGTGGTGGCAAGAGGAAATAGATCCCCGCGGGGCTTGGCAGGTGCCAAAGAATTATATAGCTTAAAGAGGGGAATATCATGGATACTAGCACATGAATGCTACCAGGTATGAAAATTACTTCACAAGCTTGAACAGTTCAGGACAACAACCTGTTCCCTAAACCAGCATGTAGCAGGAGGCGAGGGAGGGGTACTGGTTTATGTCAGAATAGATATCAAGTACAGGCAGTCTCTAGGGGAGGTTTGCAGTAAGCAACCACCCCATTCCGGCCCAGATCAACTCCCTCGTCCAGCAAAGGTCACATCATGGAACAGCCTCTCCTCCACACTCTACCGCTCAGGACCTGCTCTTACAATCTCACATGACCTCTTCTTGCCTGAGGGGCTTCAGTAGCAGGGAGGTAGCTCTTAGTTGCCAATTGACCTCACTGGAGACGCAGTCTGCACCAACAGTACAGGCACATACAAGAGACAAATTAAAAGAAGCAGTCCAAATATTAGTAACAACTTTTTCCACCATGCTTCCCCCCACCCTCCAAGACCCAAACCAGCGGGTTAGTAAGTCACCTAGGCTTGGGGCTGGGTCATTTAAGGCATTTACTTGAGTTTCCATGTGCTAACAAATAAGTATTAACAGATTCATCTGGTACCGAAGCACAACAGTCAGTTTGGATAATGGCACAGACCCACCTCCACCCCGCATACACACATACACCCCTATAACTGGATGCTACAGGAACAGCAGGAAGTCTATGGTCCGAAAGACAGATATTTAGTAGGGACCTGAATTGGGGGATCTATGAGAATTACACTTACAGTCTGATCTTTAGATGTTAATGTAGCCACAGTGTTGGGAACCCAGCCAGGCTGTGTAAGCCTGTTGGTGAGGAAGAAGTGGTGCTCTCTGGTGTAAGGAGGTAAATAAGGAGAGGAATATATTAGATCAGGACCCCTACCTTCTCTCCTCTTTGAATGGCCATGTACCAATCCACATACAGCCCGTCTCTATGGGTCCTGACTACATTAGGATGACAAGTCCTACGGGAGACTGAGCAGTTCCTCTCCTACCGTGGGCGTGAAGTAACCAAGCTATTCCAGCATAACATCCCATCTCAGGTGCCAGGAAATGACCCGTGTTCTAAGGACAAGAGGTCCTGGTACCCTCGGCATCATGGTCCACTGGTCCACGGCAAGTGTCAGGACTATTGCTGTCTCCTTTGTTTCTCACACCTTTACCATGCTGGGTGCCTCATTTGAGTTCCCAGCCTGGCATATGGAGTAATAGGCCCCACAGGTTGGCCATTTCAGTGTATTAACACTTGGGAAAACAACTTTGTGTACCTGGCCAAAGTAGGTTTTCCAGTTAGTAATTTTACCTGTTTAGGGCACCATTTTTTCATTCCACCAACCCATCATACGGGAGATGGAACCTGCGTTCAAGTAACCGTATTGACCAGGTCACTGTATTTTAAAGACAGCCCTGTCTCCATAGTTATGCGCTATCCTATTTGGGCACTAGCCCACCTACTCTTTCAGGGTACCCTCTGCAATGTCAACTGACGGGTCAGTTATTAGGCATGTGTTTTTGACAAGGCACCTGCTTCCTGGTGACCTAGAGGTGCAGATGCCTTATGGGCAGGGACATGGAAGTACCATGATCTTCCCCAGGCTCTTTAAGTGAACCCAAATATCTTTCCACATCTCTTGTCCCCATAAAGGTTTGTTCATAATCATCCACCCCTCCATTTCCATTGTCCAAGCCACAAAGTCAATCCCTTTAAAATGGCCAAACTGTCAGTACGTAGGATCAGTGGCCAATGTTCACGCGTGATCACCAGCCGCACAGCTCTTAATTCAGCCCACTGACTATCGCAGTGTGTTCTTGTTTCCACCCAGAGAGTGTCAATGGACAACTGAATGGCAACTGCAGTCCAGGGAGACAAATTACCCTCACTAGAGCTACTGGTGTACCAAGTGCCAGCCAGAATTTCCCCTATTCCTTCTTCACAGGTTGGAGGGCCCAACCCAGGGATGACAGCAGGAGCATGTGCGGGGTCTGCACATTTAACGGCCTCACGGTCCCTGCATCTTTGGAGACAAAGGTCTATTTGACTGAGCACTCCCCTGCTGTAGGCATGTAGGCATGTCACTTGGTCAGCACTCGGGTCTGAGCCATGACAGAGGTGTGCCTCATGCTGTCTCCCTTGGATGGGAGAGAAGTTCATACTGTAACTGGCTACTCTTTGGTAAGAGGCTCTACCTTCTACCTGCAGGAGCGCTGCATACACTGCCAGTCACTACTGTTCTATCGAGGTGTGTCTGCTTTCTTCCCCCTTCCACAACTGGGACCAAAGTCCAAAGGGCACTCGTTTCTTCTGCTGTTTTTGCCCTTGCTTCCTGGGGTTGAAATACCTGATTCAAATGGCGATACGGCCTGGGAGAGTGCAAGAGTTTTAATCTCTTGGATCAGTGTTTTTGCTTTCTCAAAGGCAGCTGCTAGTTTGCCTCCCCAGTCCCACATATTGTCCCTTCTTAAGTAGGTAACATAACGGGCAAAGGATATGTGCTAAGTGGAGTATAAATGTTCACCAGTACCCCCAAATTCTTACAAAAGGCTGTACCTCTTCCACATTTTTTGGTATTGGGTAGGCTTATCCCTTGTCTCTGACAGCCGCAGGGACAACGCAGGTCTTACCCCACCATACGATTCCAAAGGATTTGACTGCAGTGCCCAGACCTGGGATTTTCTGCATATTCACTATCCATCCTCTCTGTTTAAATGGTCCAGCAAAGCCTGCAAGGCTTTCTGCAGTAGAGGCAAACCTTCCTGGGTTAGCATTGCTGTTGATATAGTAAGCCCATTTCACGGAGATCGGGAAGGAAAACAGTGAGCGGTCCTGAGCCACCATCCCATGGTGTACAGAGAGGCTATAGCCTTGAGGGAGCACTTGGAAGGTATATACCTCAAGTGGGAAACCCATTTTCTAACAGTTTCTTTGTTACTGTGAGTGCATCAGCCTTGTGGCAAGGAAGGCTTCAACCCATCCAGGAAATACACACAACCACAGGAACAGACTGATAACCTATACTAAGCAGCAGCTGAATCAAGTCCAGCTTAAATGCCCTGTAATGCATGAAGAAATGCAAAAAATTAAAAATTAAAATTAAAAAAAGGTGGGGGTCTGGAAGAACCAAGCAGCCGCCTTGGGTTTCCCATGGCCCCCACTGCTTGCTTAGTTTACAATCATTGATCACCCATCTTAACTTCCCTGACTGAGGAGCAGAAAACTGCCATGTTACAAGGACATCAAGGTGGCAAAAGGATGGCACTGAGCTGCCATCTTTGCAGAAGCAGAATGGACTTTCATCCACAAGTGCAGCAATCTTTATAGTTCTTGTCGGATTTTTTTGGGGGGGCGGAGTGGCTACTGACTTTTTATAAAGTCAGATAGGGCATTTCAAAAAGTTACTTTGATAAAACATAGAATCTGTGCTTCTAATAAGGCAGAAAACTTGTTACATTATCTTAGCAGGAGTTAATTCACGGTCCAAGAAAACTTTGTCCACTTAGGAGGGAAAAAGAAAACCAAACTCAAATTTTCATCGGCTTCCTTTTGATATTTAAATCCACTGAATTAAATTTACACCAAGCTTTACAACACATTAAAATTTTGTTCCAAAAATTTCTTTTTCACAAGACTTCTACACTTAATGCAAAAGTTTTCACCTAAAAACTTTTTATTCTACTTAAATCTGTCTGGGCAGGCCCACTCGAGACTCAGACTCAGGCAGACGGAAGATGCATGGAGCTGTGGGGATGCTCGACATGCCTTTATTCGGGAGAATCACACAGGCCACAAGCCCGTGTCCAGGTCGGCAGCCCCCCACCTCTTGGGAGTCACACAGGCCACAAGCCGTGTGTGTCGGCGCCACGACTCCATCACTCACTCACTCCCACTCTCTCCCTCTCTCTTTCTCTCTGTGAGAAGTCCCTACCTCCTTAAGTACTAGCACAAAGCAAGCTGACCTCAGGCCAAAAAGTGAAGTAGCCTAGCATGAGCTGCCCATGTGAGCCTACCCAAGGCTACGGGGCAGTTTATCACACCCGAGGCCGTGAGACCCGGGCTCAAGGCTGTGGGAACAGCGCTTTATCAGACTCCTTCAAGGTTGTGAGGAGCTGCTCCCCCAGTTACCCAAGCACCTGGCTGAGGAAGCCAAACTGCCTCCACTTACCCTACAGTTTATTAGTTCTTTTAAAAAGATTTTATTTATTTATTTTTCAAGAGACAGGCAAAGAGAACAAGAGAGAAGTATCAATGTGAGAGTGAAATATTGATCAGCTGCCTCCCATGCATCAAACCCATAGCCCAGGTATGTGCCCTGACCTAGAATCAAACCGGCAACCCTTTTCTTTGCGTAACATGTAACCAAACTGAGCCACACCAATGAGGGCTGATTTATGAGTTCTTAACAATTATATTTAGGTTGCCCACAAAAACTTCATGAGGTTTTAGACAAAATCTGCCCATATTATTTTTTTATTCAGCCCATATTGTTATTATTTTTGCTGACAAATGTATAGATAAAATAAAGGTATCAAATTTAATTCGGAATGCTCTAAAGACATGTCCGTTTTAATTAAACCAACACACTTAAACTAGCTTTAATATCAAGAATTTTCCCAGATTATGTGACTCTGAAAAGCATTTGGGTTTCTGAATCTGTTTCTGAATCTCTGAGAATTCTGAAATATCCAATCTTTAATTTATATAAGCACTTAATTCCTTTAAGCCAATTAAACATAGTTCTTTCACAAGTCTGCAATATCATTTGGAGGTAGAAAATACCAAACACGACACATATAGACACACCTGAACATACAGATGCAGAGACCTCGTGGTTTCTAAAAAAGGGTGGGATCCGTTCAAAGGACCTTCCTTCCTTACCCCCACCTTTATCAGTCAGTCCTGATGCTAATAGAGTTCCATTCTACTGTTTTTCTAGTTTCAGTTGTTCCTCTAGTGTTCTAACCCTGTCTTTGTCTATAGGTGGGCATCTGTGACCAGCCAAATCAACCATAGGAGGGACCAGCCTACATTTGCAGCCATAAATTTTCCTGCCTTGCTGCAGTGCAGTTCCTTAAACGTATACATAAAAACAGCCAGCGTTTTGAGTATCCCTGTACTCGTGTTTCAGTCTGCATGTATCTAACATACAGGCCACCTCTCCCCATGTAGAGGTCCATAAGCCAGGTTGATCCCCTCTTTCCCAAAGTCCATTTCTTTGGTCTCCTGGCTGGCTTGCCAATTTTTAGTACATGCAGACCCAGGAAAAAGCCCCAAGATCAAAAATCTACCTCCATAAGCAGCAGTAGGCGGGGAAAGACCAATGAAAGAAGTTGCCACTCCACTTTAGTAATTAATAGTTTAAGGGAAACTGACATAGAGGTGTGTCTTGGGTGGCTGCAAGTTGAAATCAATCCCCAAGATGTTTGGCAGGTGCCAATGAAGTGTATAAAGAGGGAAACAGTCATACATACTAGTATGTGAATGCTACCAGGTATCAGAACTTACTTCACATGCTTGACCAGGCCAGGACTTTTTTGAGGAACCAGCACATGCAGGAGGCAAGGGAAGGGTGTTGATTTGTGTCAGAATAACCATCAAATATGATCAAATAGTCTCTAAGGGGGTTTTGCAGTAAGTAATCTCCCTCTTCTAGCCCAGGTCCTGTTCTCGGGTCTTGCAGCGGTGGGGGAGGGCTCAATCTTTTATGCCTGTTTCCCTATCAGTCCATCTAGTTCACTGACATTATTCCATTCATATGATAAAAAAATCAAAGCCCAAATTCCTGAGGTCAGCAAGGCCATCTGCTAAGCTGTCAGAAGAAGGTCCCTGTCTTATCCCCAGCAGCTGACATAAGGCAGGTGTCTTATGAATAAGCAAGTGAACCACCAGAAGGCTCCAGACTGGGGCCTCACCACAGGCCTGGGTAAGTAAAGGACCTGAAGCCCTTCTAGGAGGGCACCTGCAATGGACAGAAGGAGAGGTCTCAGAAAATAGCCAGAAGGCAAAACTTTATTATTAACTGGTTTCAACAAGAAAATGAGTGGATACACCTAGAAACATGGACAGGATCTCCCCCAGCAGCAGGCAGGATGGGGAAGGAAGGCAGGAGGAGTAGGCCCAGGGTATTCCCCTCTCTGCCCCAGCAGAAGTGCAATCCCAGGGAAAGGTCCAGGTTCCTTCCATCCAGCTGTGGGCGCTGCAACTACCTCACCCAGGGAAGCCCAGGGCAGCCAGCTGCTGAGGGTAGAAGGCTGGGCAGCCAAGGATCAACCCTGGAAGAAGGTATATAGAGGGGTCCAGGATATGACCCCTCTAGGCTGACATCACCAAGGGGGTGTCATGGGCTGAGGGTTCTGCAGATACGACATCACCACGGCAGAAATGGACAGCCTGAGACCGGAGAGAGGTGTCAGTCAGGATGGGTAAGCTTGGGTCCGCCCTCCCCTAATCAGAAGTCCCTCCTTCTCTAGGCCCAGCCTCACATGAAGCTACTCATCATTTGCTTAGTGTCCTCAGAGCTCCGGGAGTTGGCGAAGCTGATGAAGGAGCAGTAAACAGCAACCCAAGCACACCACTTCAGCTGGGAAAAGGCAGGTGAACGGGTGGGTTAGGTCACTGGAAGACAAGGGGCATTCCCAGGCACGGGTTCCAACCCACTGGTTCCAACTGTTGCAGCTTGAACTCTGTCCCCCAGCCCCCAGGAGTCCCTCAGTCCCATCTACCCAGAGCCTACTCCAGGTAGTTTCCCCTCAGGCCTAAAAAGACTACTAGCCTTTTACATCCCATCAAGCTAAAAACCCCACCCTTTCTCCACTATCCTTTCCAAGTTGCTTTAGAATCTGGCCCCACCCTCACACCAACCTCCCACATACCCAACCTGACCTGGATCCCCGGGTTTCCCCGACGGCTCTGACTTTCTCGGTCCAACAGTACCCGAGCCCCGAGCCCTGCCCCTTCAGCGCCGGCCCCGCTGCATTCCGAATCCGCCCCCGGCCTCGCCGTCGGAGATAAGCAGTCCTGCCCACCTTGAGCATGAGGCCGCACATACTGAAGATCATGCCGAGCAGGTTCATGTAGTCTGGCGTCGGATCATCCAAAGCCGGATTACATTCGCTCGGCGGAGGCTTGTACCTGCGGCAGGATCGAGGTCAGAGGGACTCCTGTCCCGCCCCCAAGGATGGACAAGCGCTTCCCTGGGTCCGGAACCACAACCCAAACCCCTCTCCCATGAGGCTGGGGTCCTCACCTCAGCACTTTATTCGGCCTCCGTGGATCGGACATATTGTTCGTAGACATAGCGAGTAGGGGATCTCATCCCTTCCGCTGCCGGAGTTGCCGCTTCCGGCGTGGAAACGCAGGGTGGTTTTTACAGTAACACCCGCAAGCCCTCGCATTTCTATTCCTAACGGCGGGGGGCCAGGACTCCTCCAGTCTGAAGACAGAATTAGAAGAAGCCAACAATGGCTTTTGGAAGCAAGAATTGGGGGAAAAAACCTTGAAGCTGCTGTCAGCTTTCAATATTCCCATTATCTCCAAAAAGCCGAAATTTCGAGCCCGGAACTGGGAAACAGGAAGTAGTCCAAGGAGGACAATAATAAGGTTACACCCAAGCGAGTTAAGGCTCGGAATAAGGCAGCGAGGAAGGACTCTCGGACTAATGTCTTTCCCGGAGCCAAAGCCCCGGGGCCCGGAGCTGCCGCAGAAACGGTTGAAGACGCTGGACTGCGGGCAGGGGGCAGTGCGAGCCGTGCGCTTTAATGGTGAGCACCCTCATCTCCATTCTGAGTCTTCCTCCCGCCTTTTGAGGTTGCTGGCCCAATAACCCTCTCCTGGTGTTCCCCAGTGGATGGCAATTACTGCTTGACATGCGGCAGCGACAAGACCCTGAAGCTGTGGAACCCGCTACGGGGGACGCTGCTGCGAACGTACAGCGGCCACGGCTACGAGGTGCTGGACGCGGCCGGGTGAGCCGGGGCCAGGCCGGGATCGGGACATTGAGGCGGGGATCGGAGGTCGACGCTGACCTTCCCTCCTCTGCCCTCTAGCTCCTTTGATAATAGCAATCTCTGCTCTGGCGGCGGGGACAAGGCGGTGGTGCTGTGGGATGTGGCATCTGGGCAGGTCGTGCGTAAATTCCGGGGTCACGCAGGGGTGAGTACAAGCAAAAAGAGACCTCATTAGAGCGTGGAAGGAGGAAGGGACTGCATTAGCCTGTAGATGGTGCCAGGTACCACCCCCATTACAGCGCATTCATCAAGCCCCGTCTTTGCAGTACCCTCGAAACCTTTCACCTCCCCTGCCCCTTGCTTTTGTCCTCACTTTAATCTGCACGGGGAACCCTGCCTTTATCTCAGTCTTCCAAAGTCTAGCCTTTGGTAGCGTTCCCAACATTACCTCCAAAAAACCGAAAGTTTGAGCCCGGAAGTGGGAAACAGGAAGTAGTCCACCCAGGACAATAACAAAAAACCTTAGTATAGACTGGTATAAGGCAGAGAGGAGGCGATCCCGGAGCAATGTCTTTCTCTGAGTGGTAGTTCCTGTTTCTCAGAAGGTGAACACGGTGCAATTTAATGAAGAGGCCACAGTCATCCTGTCTGGTAAGTGTGGTAGGTAGGCAAGGGACCCAGGGTGCTGCCCCTGCCCCCCAAACCTGACCTCACGTTCACGCCCCGCCTCACAGGCTCTATTGATTCCACTATCCGCTGCTGGGACTGCCGCTCTCGGAGGCCTGATCCAGTGCAGAAGCTGGACGAAGCCAGGGATGGTGTATCCAGTGTGAAGGTGTCAGATCATGAGGTTCTGGCAGGGTGAGTGGAACCAGGATATTGCCCCTCCCCAGGTACCACTGGAGATCATAGCTGCCTCTGCTTAAAGTCTACTCTCCTCATTGCGGCACCCAAGGCTCTGTGCAGTTCATTCCCACCCTTATTTCAAGTAAATATGCCAAGCGTGCCTATACCACAGGAGCTTTGCAATTGCTCTTCCTGTGTCTAGACTGCCCTTCTACTACTTATTCCAAGTATACTTAGGTACCTCCTGCAGACCCCTCTTTTTAGTCAATAAGCAGTGTAGCAGTGTAGCTACACTTATTCATTGCTACAAGCAGTGTAGCAGTGTAGCTACACTTATTCATTGCTACCGAGCAGTGTAGCAATGAATAAGACAGGGAACTAGGGGAAAATCTCAACCCTTATAGGGTTGATATTCTAGCTGCAGAAGACAGTTAAAAAAAAAAAAAAAATCCCATGCAGGGCTGCTCAAGTATTGCCACAACCCAAGGGAGTGGCATTCCACCATGGGGGGAGTTTGGGCTGCCCAGCCTGTTGACTGGCCTTGTTCCCACACATCTCCACTTGAACCCACAAGGTTGGCTCCTGCTTGTCCTTTAAGTCCCAGTTCAGATGTCACCTCCTTGGGGAGGCGTTCATAGATTACCCTCAGTCCGTGAGGCTCCAGAAATTTCTCCTGGCTTAGTCAAAGCTGTGTCCCAAGCCCGCCCTACCCACTACAGCATCTGGCCCAGAGAGGATGTTCAGTACATATCAGAAACAGATAGAGTAGTTCCTTCAGGGGTCCCTGGGTCTGAATCTCAAAGCGAGTGCCTCAGAATTCCACTCATGAATTCACTTCAATGTGTGTTTTCCATGGCCAGCCCTGGAAGGGAGTATGACAGTGAGGGGTGCCCAGGAAGGACAGGCTCAGCCACGCCTTTAGAGCCCTGGCCAGGCAGAAGGCACTGAGGTTACCTAGAGCCATGGACCCGCCGGCCCCTGTTAAACTTCAGCTGCATCCACTCTTTCTTACAGCTCTGTGGATGGCCGGCTGAGGCGCTATGACCTGAGGATGGGGCAGCTCTTCTCAGACTACGTGGGCAGTGAGTATGGCCAGGCTCGGGGTGGGGAAACTAGGCCAGTCTCACCTGCCTGCCCACTCCTCCCGTCCCCCCAGGTCCCATCACTTGCACCTGCTTCAGCCGGGATGGGCAGTGCACCCTGGTGTCCAGCCTGGACTCCACATTGAGGCTCCTGGACAAGGACACGGGGGAGCTGCTAGGGGAGTGAGTCTTTGGGGTCATGGCCCCCCCCACCTCTGCCCTTAGTAAGTCCCAAGCCTGCTGATCCCACCTACCCCCAGGTACACAGGCCATAAGAACCAGGAGTACAAGCTGGACTGCTGCCTGAGCGAGCGTGACACACACGTAGTCAGCTGCTCCGAGGATGGGAAGGTGTTCTTCTGGGACCTAGTGGAGGTGAGCCTCCCCACCTCCACGCTGCACCAGGGCTCCTGTCCTGTCCTCACTTTGTCCTTACCTCAGTCACTCCCGGGCCCGAAAAAGGAACGCTATTAGAACCAGGGGCTGGAAGAAAGAGTGAGCGAGAGGACGAGAAGGGTATTCCTGACAAAGGGAACAATATGTGCTAAAGCCTGGAGGTGTGGCACACATTGGTCAGGCAAGGGCCACCGGTGCCAGGCTGACCCATGGAGACTGACCCTGAGGGCCGGGGAGCTAATAGTGGCATCTGACCCTGGGGGAGGTTCGGGAAACCTGGGCCCTGTTCTGATGTGTCCCAGTCTGGTGGTGGCATCGGGCTGAGAACACACTGGCTGGGCTCAGTGGAGCCTCATGGAAGGAGATATGGGTGCTGAGGCTTGTTGGCCGGGGACGTAAGTTCCCTAAGAGGATGGAGGGAACTGGGGGACCCTGGGGACTTGATGGGCTAGGTGTCTCAGGGAACTGAGCAAGTGCCAACATTCTGTCTACTTGAGGATCCAGAAAACCAGAGGTCACAATGAAGGGAGGGCACATAAGGAGACATTTTGAGGTAAAAACAGGAACTGTGGTCTGCTTAAGGATCTGTGTATATGGAGCTGTGCCTGCAGGTTGATGAAGGAAGCACAGACCCTGACGTTGCCAAGCGGATGGGTAGGTCCTCCGTGGCAGCAGGGGAAGGAAGCTGAAAGCCAGGCACAGCTGGCTCAGAGGAGGGCTGTGGCCATGAAGGCGGAAAGACTGGGCAGCCTCCGGACGTAGTCTAAGGCAGAACCAAGAGGATTTACTGATAAAGGGATGTGAGGTGTGAAAAAGATTCTGCAGGGTTTGGCCTGAGCACCTGGAAGGACAGAACCACTGAGGGGCTCATTTGGGGGCAGACTAGGTTTTCAGTGACTAGAAAGCTACTAGAAGCAGGTGGCTAAAGGTTGGGGGAGGGGGCCTTGCTGATAACTGCTCCCCTCCCTTGTTCCACAGGGTATCCTAGCACTGACCTTGCAAGTGGGTCCTGGTGTGGTCCAGTCACTGACCTACCACCCAACAGAGCCCTGCCTGCTGACTGCCACAGGGGGCAGCATCCATTACTGGCGGGAAGAGGCCTATGAAGCTGAGGGTGGTACAGGTTGAAGCCAGGGAACCCACCACCGCCAAGGACACAGATGCAGACTCTAGACCACTGAGACCATTTATTCTAGAAGTACCATGGACCAAGGAATGAAGAAGGGGCTGGGTCTGCAAATGAATAAATAGGGTGGGCCCTCCCTGGGGCCACAGCTGTTCAGTCCTTGTTCTTCTCATGCATGAAGGCATCTGCTTTCTGGGCAAAGGTTTCAGCCACGAGCAGGGGGAAGACCAAGGAGGCATCAGCACAGACCTGCAGAGGGGACCCAGGTAACCACGGGGCCCAAATCCGCAGCTTGGGAGGCCCGGCACCCCAGCCGGCTGGCCGGCCCTCACCTTGACAGGCTGTGCGTCCACCCGGATCTTGCCCCAAGAGACAGCTTCATCTGGCTGGGCACCAGAGTCGGAGCCATCAAATTCCTGGGCCGTGTTGATGTAGACAGCATAGTCAGCCCCATTCCGCTGTGGGAGGGGCAGGGCAAGTGGTCAGCCAGTCACAGGAAAAACACACACACACACACACACAGCCAGGGCTCTGCAGCTGGAGAGGCTAAGCCATGTGTCATAGATGAAGGAGGGCCTTTGGTGGCCCCTCCCTACAAGGGAGAGACCCTATGTCAACACCTGGGAAGAGTGAGGGGTTGGAGGGTTACTGGGAAAAAAGATGGGCAGCGTTGCCCCTGACCACATGGCTCATGGGAAGCATCTACTTCCAGGTCACATTCCCCAGAAAGGCTTCCCTTTTTTGAAGTGCCCTTTTTTATTACCATCTTGTTAGCCCCCATTTTTCTCCATGGCAATGATTGCCGCCTGACTTGCTCTCTGTCTCCCACCACTAAAACACCAGTCCCAGGAAGGCAGGGATCCTGACCTATCTAGTACATGGCTGTGTCTCTGACACACGGCATAGACCTAGCACACAGACATCTCTGCATGGCAGGCCTAAGTGCCCCCTCCACACTAGGGAGCAGGTGCTCTGTCCCTACTCACCATGAGATTGGCATTTGCAATGTGGTGCTTGATCACACCCCCGCCCAGGATGATCATACCAGAGCGCTTGGCAAAGATGGCCTGGGTGTTGATGAGCTTCAGGTCTAGGGAAGAGCACTGTGGTCAGGCCCTGGACCCAGCCAGCCCTCCTCCCCCGCTCCTCTGGCCCCAGCACCTCACCCTCCACGATGTCCAGGACCAGGCCCGGGTTCTTGTAGGAATGGAAAAAGATCATGTCGCCCAGCGAACCATCTGTGAGCGCCGGGCTCAGTACAGGGATGTGGTTCTGAGGGAGGGCAGGACAGAGCAGCAGCAGGAGTCAGAGCCTGGTGCGGGCAGCCCGGTCCCCGTTCTGGCAGTATTCCCTCTGCCTGACTCTAGGCGGGGTACTTAACCTTTCAGGGCTTCAGTTTCCTTCACTGTAAAATGATGGTAACAGCAGCACCTCCCTCACAGATGAGGAAGCATGTGTAGGAAAACCCACACATAACCACCTTGTTTGGCATATAAAGAATGGTGGCTCCTGTTATTTTTCCAACTGCTGGATCTCGTTGCCTCTGAGGAGCCGGGGAACCTACAACAGACCCCAGGGGGTTGCTAAGCATTACCCTAACTGCTCCCAGGTGGTCTAGGAGTAAAGGCAGGATATGAGGAGCACACTCAACAGCTGTGTAACCTCAGAAAAACTGCCTGACCTGTGTCTGAAATTCCTCATTTAAGAATGCAGATAATGAGAACAGCACGGACTCCCCAGGTGACTGAAGATGGAAAAAGTTAACATGGGTGTCTTTGCGCCCACCCAACCCCTCACCTTCTGGGCCCAGTAATACACTGACTCTGGGTTGTTGATCTCCTTGCCAAGCCGGGAGATCATCTTGGAAGGCGTCCACTTCACACCCTAGGAGAGGATATCAGCTTAAGCCAGCAGTGCTCCCCCTGACTGCCACCGTGCCGGCCCCCCAGAATACTTCAGCCCCACCTCTGTGTTCTGCTCCAGCACCATCTGGTCCAGAATGGGCATCAGCCAGTCCTCAAACTTGCAGTAATTGTCATTGGGCACCAGCAGGTTCCCAATCCTGGGGACAGGAGGCGGGTAGGTATCAGACCTCAGACCCTTAGCCCAGCTCCCATACCCAACACCACTCAGCCCCACCCCCCACCTGTTAATCCCGTTCTCACGTAGCTCCTTCCCCCTGAGGCTGAACTCGCCCAGGTACGTGGGTGCCAGGCACTTGATGAGATCCTCCTCCACGCCCCCTGCGGTAGTCACCAAGACATCCACCTGCAGCCACAGGAAGTGCGGTTGGCCCAGGAAGGAAGCCCTGCCCTCATTCCGGGCAGGACTCCTCTCCCAACCCTCATCTAGTATTCTTGCAGGAAGCTCTGCTGCAAAACAAAACTCAATCCTGTCCCTCTGCTTAAAACTGACATCTCTCTCTCCCCCTTACTAAAATGACCAAAAATCTTATTGCCCCTGAGACCCAGAGGGGCCAGGGGCACAGCCCCATCAGTTCCCCACCATGTTGTGCTGCACGAGGTAACGGATGGTCTCACGGATGCCTGAACTGATAAGGTTGGACGTGTAGCCCAGGAAAATGGTGCAGCCAGTGAGCGGGCGACGGCTCTGGGTCAGGTCTGTGTGCTGGTCTTCATCCTCCGGCAGAGGCTCCAGCTTCTTCTCTATCTACGTGTGAGAGCAGGGTCAAATTAACGTCTGGACCCAACCTCCAGCCCAAGTACCCCAGTGGCTTTCAGAATCAGACTCCGCCCGAGGCCCTGCCCACTCAGGGAAAGGGGACCACTTGCACCTGGAACCTGGGAAGGGAGCACCCTGTGCAGCCTCCGCCCTTTCACAGCTCGGCTCTCAGAGCACACGGTCACGCTTTGCCCCCTTGGGAAGCAGAGACATCTCCTTTGCAGGATCCAGTCCCCTTCCCGCTGGGAAGGGCAAATCCTAGCCCCAGGCTTCGCCCATTCCACAATACACGCATAACCTATAACCTCCCCGCTACCTAAAATCAGTCCCGACCCCTTCTTGATACTAGGATATCGCCGCAGGAGGGGCAACTGCCCCAAACCGACACAGAAAATCCCGCCGCTGGTAAGCCCCGCCTCCCTCTGACTATCGGATCGACCCAGCAAAGCACACGCCTCTTCTCCCAGGGAAGCCCCGCCCTTCCAAGTACTGCACCGCATTGGTGCTACTAGAGGTCACGCCCTCTACGCCCAGGAAGTCCCGCCCCGGCCTTACCATGGCGTTTACTTGATGCACTGCGCGCCCGAAGTTGGTAGCCTGGAAACCAGTGGTGCCGAAGGCTCCCAGGAGCGTATGGTAGTCCACGCCACGGTTGAAGTCGTAGCCCCGAACCTGAACGCTCTCGGACGGCAGTGCCGAGCTGTGCTTTAGCACAGCGGCCAGGGCCGCCGCGGGCACCTTCCCCTCCGAAGGACCCTCCATGCGCCTGCGACTGCGCTCTCAGGTCGGAGCAACCCCAAGCCACGCCTCCAGTGGCCTCGAAACCCTGTAAGTCCTGGCACGCACTTCTCTACGAGAGGGCTGGAAGCAGGGCTCGGAAAAAAACGGGGAGAGATGTACCGGAAGTTACTTTCGTCACATGACCCTCGTCGGTGCCCGTAATCCGGGGCGTGGCCGGTTCCGAAATGGGGAAGCTGCTTGGAGCCGTTTTTCGCTGCCCCACGCGAAGAAATAGCCCGACTTTTATTGCCGCCTACTGGAGACCCACCGCGTTGCGGGGCACTCGTCCATTGGTTTCTGTCCCCTGGGGGGATGAGGATGGCTTCTTGAACTTCTCCGTTGGACAGAATTCGAATTATCAGGAACTGTCAGAATTTCTGCCACTGAGCATCTCTCATCAAATAGAATATTGATTCTTTTCCGTCCCTAGCAAGTCTCCAGAGCCTCCGCACGCTGCATTGCCTTTTGGTCGTCCCCCGGCAGCCGCATCTGTCATCTCCCCTGGGAAGGCTTCCCTGACCTTCCGTTGAGTCAGGCATCTCCTCTGGTATCCAAGACTGACATCTCTTTCCCTCCAGCAAGAGTGGAGCCTGTATCTCATGGGTTCTCCTAACTATGTACAGGGTCCGGTCCAGAGGGCACCCCATTAATCATTCACTCTACATTGACGGAGTCTATACTGTACTACACATTGGGCTCTGCGCTGGGTGCAGATTTGGCAGTGAACAAGATGCAGACCCTGCCCACCAGGAGCCGACAGTTTGCGGAGATAGAAAGTTAGCAACAGTGGCCTTAGTTGGAAGGACAGGTGGTTGAGGAAGGACATCAAGGAGGTGACATTTGAGCCGAAGCCAGAAGGCCAAGAAAAACCCCATATGTGAACTTGTGGGGGGAGGCCATTTCCCCACTGCCTGGCGTTGGGAGAGAATAGCCAGTGTAAAGCCCTGAGGATGGCAGTGAGCCTACCCAACTGGGGGAACAGAATCTTGACATCCTTGAAATTCCCTGCTTGGATCTCACATTCGCCACCTCAGTTTTCTCTCCACCTGACCCCGATCTTGCTGCAGCCTTCCACGTCTCATCAACAGCCTTCATCTACCAGGCTAAAAACTGGGGAGTTGAGCTTGATGGCTCCCCTTGTCTCACAACCTACATCTATTCCCCAGCACACCTGCCAAATTCTACCCACAAAATAGGCCCCAAATCCAGATGCTTTTTTGTCACTTTTTAAAAAGGGGGTAATTTCTGGGTCTCAGTTCAAAATGTCACGTCCTCCAGGAGGTCTGCCCTTGTCACCCCCTCTTGCCCTTAACCTTGCTTTTGTTGTCTTCAATCGCACGTAATACATTTTGTTTGCTGTTGTTTGTCTGACTAGAAAGGCAGTTCCATGGGGACAGGATTTTGTCGGATTTCCCTGCCGATCCCCTTACACTGAGCAGTGCTCGACACATATTGGGACCTCAGCAAAGAGAATGAATGAATGAATGAATGAAATGAACAGACACAAGGGCACCAGCATTATCCATGAGGAATGGAGGGGAGGTTGATAAGTGAATTCCGAGTGAGCAGAAGGTAACCAGACCAGGCAGGACCCCATGGGCTGTAGTCAGGAGAGTTGGTTTTATTCTAAGGCTGAGAAACCTCTGGAGACTTTCAGAAAGGAAGTGAGAGACTACACGTAAGATTCACTATCTTACCCATTTTTAGCACACAGGTCAGTGGCGTTAAGCACATTCACCTTGTTGTGCAACCATTACTACCATTCACCTCAAGAACATTTTTATCTTCCCAAACTCTGTCCCTATTAAACACCAGCTCTGCATGCCCCTTCCCCAGCCCCTGGCACCCACCATTTTACTTTTTGTCTCTATGAATTTGACTCCATTAGGGACCCCATATGAATGGGATCATAAATGTGTCCTTTTGTGACTGGCTTATTTCACTCAGCATAATGCCCTCAATGTCAGTCCATGTTATATTCTGATTTGACAGTTCCCACTGGCTGACTTGAAAATAGGGGCAGTGGCTGTGGGAGGGCAGGAGAGACCAGGGTGGAGGTGACTGCATTGGCCCAAGTGAGCAAAGATGGGGGTGGGACCCAAGTTGGGTGAAGAGAAGCGACCCGATTGAGGACCTAATTTGAAGGTTGATCGGCTTGCTCTTAAGGAAGGATTGGATGTGGGGATACTGAAAAGAGGAGGAATAAAGGAGTTTGAGATTTGGGCCAGGGCACTTGGGTGGATGGTGGTGACGGAGGCATAAGGCCAGGGGGAAAGGCAATCTAGAGTCCAGCTTTGGCCAAGTTAGGTGAGAGACACCAGAGAGAGGTAGGGTGGGCCAAGGAGGCCAGAGTGTCCTCAAGTGTATCTGAAGTCAGGGAAGGGGGCTGGGATGGGGCCGAGGAAGCCATTGGCACAGGCAAGTGGACTGAGTCATCCATGGTGAGATCCCCAGGCATTGAATGTAGACAGAGAAGAGACATGGGCTGTACCCAAGCCAGGGGACACTGCACATTGTAGGACAGAGGGTGGCAAAGGAGGGTGTTGGGGCTAGTTAGCAGGGGATCAAGCAGGTCAGTGAGAGGCCAGGGCCCCACACTCCTCCTGCCAGCCTAACACCTGACTGGTGGGCACCCACTGGGCCTCCTGGGGCAGGAAACCCCTTGGCTAAGGCAGCTGCTGCTGCTGTCACTGGTGACATTTCACTCCATGAGAGTCCTGCCTTCAAAGTCTCTGCAGGGGTCAGGAAGGAGGGGGCTGGAGAGGCCAGGCGGGTGCGGGAGGGAGGCAAAGCAAGGCTGCAGGAGGAGACGAGCAGCCAGGAGCCTGCCAGAGTCTCAGCTAAGTGAGGTACGTGGTTCTGATGAATGGGGCGCATCCACCCCCACCCCACAGTCCCCAGGGCACATGAGAGGAGGTATGGGGACCCTTGGGTGGCCCTAGGACTCCAGGTCTCTGGTTCAGCCTGCTGCCTATGGCCCTGCTCAACTTCCCCCAGATGTCCAGCAAGGTAGCCATCGGCAGCGACATCGGGCAGGCCCGCCGGGCCGTGGAGCAGCTGAGGATGGAGGCCGGCATTGACCGAATAAAGGTGAGGCTGGGGGCAGGTGGGCACGTCTGGGGGAGGGGCACAGGGACAGCCAAGGTCTGGCTGACTGGGCTGGCCCACAGGTGTCCAAGGCAGCCTCTGACCTGCTGCAGTTCTGCATGGAGCAGGCCAAGAGCGACCCGTTCCTGGTGGGCATCCCGGCTGCCACCAACCCCTTCAAGGAGAAGAAGCCTTGTGCCATCCTATGATACGGCCCTAAGGTTCCCTCAATAAATGTGATATAAATGCTCCTCGGGCTTGGTGGGCTGCAATGGGGGGCAAAGGGGAGCTGCGGGCCGGCAGGGGCCGCCGGCCCACTCCAGGGTCACTGCCACAGGGACGCACACACCTCTCGCCCCACCCTGCCCTGAATCTGTGGGCACTTGAACAGATCCCCTCTCCTGCGCAAACACATCCAGGGACAGTCCCAATCTACACGCCAATGCACATCGCACCCATACATGTCACACATGCCCACATGTCACACACAGGTGTCATCATCCGGCCAGGCGCTCACACCCTCCAGAATCCCCCTCCCCCCCTCACACACACTCACCGGCATGCAGACAGCCACAGACGGGGTTACAGCAACAACGCCCGGCCGGCCGGCCGGCCTCCCCAGGGACACAGACACGTGATCCCAGGCACACACTCGGGTGGGCACAGGCGCACCCAGACGCACACCGCAGAGGCCGTCACCGAGGCTGCCATGCACCGCCCCAGACACACGCTCATCCCCAGCACCCTTGCCCCAGGCAGGCAACACTCCAGGTCACAGCACCAATGTGTCAGGTTTATTTCCCCTTCGTTCTCGAGGGAAGGCAGGCATCCAAAGCTTAAACAGGATCTGAGGGTGGGCAGCAGCTCCCTGGGTGGGCTGGAACACCAACCTCACCTTCCCTGGCGTGGGGCCCAGATCAAGGACCCCACCCGACAGTGGCCAGGAGTCCTTGTGCCCCAGGCCTGTGGGGCACAGCAGGGGCAGCACCAGCAATGGGGAGGGTTCCCTGGGAACAGAGGCCTTGCCTCGGCCTGCCGGCTGGCAGATCCGTGTCCACGCCCATGTCTGCCTGCTCAGGCCTGCAGCCTCCAGACTTCCAAAGACAGGCCTCCAGAGGCGGCCACCACCAGGTTGCCCTCAGCACAGATCTGGGCAGGGACATGAAGACTCAGGTGCTCTGGGCAGCCAGCAGGGCATGTGGGGCAGAGTGTGGAGCGGGGAGGGAGGGTCCTTACCCCATTCAGTACATTGTGGTGGCTTCGGGTGCAGATGGTCCTTGGTGGATCTGTGGGCACTTGCACCTGGTGAGGGGTAACAGGCAAAGGTCAAGAGGTGTGCGCCCAGCCAGCAGGGGTGGAGAGGGAGGGGGCCTGTCCAGCAGCCTCACCCGGATGGTCTTGTCGGTGGATGTGGTGTACAAGGCCCCCAGCGAGTGTTTGATCCCTGTGATCTGAGACCTGTGGCCCACGTCAAAGGACTGCAAGGAGGGACAGGTGGCACTCAGGCAAGGCTCTCCTAAGGCCAGCCACCCAAGGCCGCTAAAGGTCTAGGGGTAGGGAGGAGGTCCAGGAAGGATGGGACAGGGGCAAGGGCTCTGGCAGACCCGGACAAGCTGGAAGCAGCCATCCCGGTTGGCGAAGACGTGCAGCAGACCCTGGTTGTCACCGGCCCAGAGCTGGGGCTCTTGGTAGGACATGCAGAGCAGGTAGGAGTCCAGCTGTGGGAGAGGCATGGGGTGGAGCAGCTCAGGCTGGGCCACACCACAGCCCTGGTACCTCAGGACCCTGGGGAGGGCTCACCTGCAACCGCTGCAGGACGCTATTGGCCCGGCGGTCGAACACGACGAGCGTGTGGTCCTCACTGCCCGAGATGATGTGCCGGTCGTCTGCCAGCAGCGCCAGCACCGCACTCGAGTGCAGCCGCCGGCTCTTCAGCAGGGCCGGGCCCACTTTGTGGGTGATGGGCCAGGGAGAAGAGGGACATCAGAGCCCCTCAAAGGGCCTCCACTGCCCACCAGAGGATACGGGGCCTCTGTCCTCTGTGGCAAAAGCCTTGGTCGGCTTCCCTCCCCACCTGCCAACTCACAAGTGACCCTCTCTCCTCTCCTGCCCCAGCTGAATCCAGGCCTCCACCCCACCCCGCCCCCACCTCCTGTCCCATCTGCTCTCAGCACAGAGTAGACAGGAGAGCCCCAACATAAAATGCCAACCAATGCCAGCAGAGTTGCCTCCACCCCCACCCCAGCTCTGCTCCGCCTGCATAAGGCACATTCGCCCTTCAATTAAACAAAGTAAGAATAAAGAAATAAATGACAGGAAAGGATTATGTACCGGGCAATATTTGTTCTAGGCATTTTATGTAAACTAACATTTAATCCACCAATGTTATTATTATCTCCTCCCATTAACCCTATGGGCTAGAGTTGTTATTATCTGGATTTTACAGACAGTGAAACTGAGGTTCAAGCTTGACCGGCAACATAAAGCTAGGGAGTGCGGGAGCCAGGATTCTCAGGGGCTGTCTGCCACCCAGGGGATTCTGGCTCAGGGGCCCCTCCTCTGGGTGCTCTCTCTGTCCCTCACCCGACCCAGATGGAGGTCCAGCTACCTCTGCACCCCACCCCTGACAAAAGTCCCCTTTGTTGCCCCCAGCATAGCACAGGCCACTCTGAGTGGTTAGCATCTGCTTATGTGACTGTCACCCCAGCCACGCTGTGAAGCCCAAGTGCCTCCTTCCCCAGCATGACCCTGGGACCCGCCTCCTCCAATTCAGGCCCCAGGCCCACCTCTGGGGTCGTAGACTGTCACCTTCTTGTCATAGGTGCCAGTCACCAGAATGTCAGGCTGGTAGGAAAGGCACAGCACAGCTGCCTTGCCCCTGGGGACACAGGGAGCGTGAGGTTGAGCTGTGGCCAGGCGGGGCCCTGTCCCACCGCCCCAGCCCCCCTCCCCAGGACCCCTCACACTTTATCTCGCCGAACTGCTGCCCATCAGCGGCTATGTCCCAGAGCTTCACCGTGCTGTCCCAGGACCCGGAGCACACGCGGTGATCCAGCGCTGCCAGCGACCACACCCAACCCTGCAGGATCAGACCCACGTGACAGTCCTCATTTCACAGATAACTAAATTGAGGGTCAGAGAGGGAGCCAACCAACCCAAGGCCGCAGGGCCAAGCAGCAGCCTGTAGAGATTAGAGTTTAAGTCTCTATGTCTGTCTGACTGCAGACCCTGGGACATGCCTACCCCCCACCCAATAATATTCCTAAATCAAGTCCCATGGAGACTCAAAACCAGTGATGGTTTGAGGCCACATGGTGTGATTAAGAATGGTCAGGTAGCTCAGTTGGGTAGAGCATTGTCCTGATACACCAGGGTTGTTGGTTCAATCCTTGGTCAGGACACGTACAAGAATCAATTAATGCATAAATAAGTGGAACAACAAATCAATGTTTGTTTCTCTCTCTCCCTCCCTACCACTTTTTTTTTTCTCTCTCTAAAAATCAGTTTTTTAAAACAGTCTGTGTCTCAGGAGATAATGTGCACAGACTGACTTATTCCTCACCAAACCCTCTGAGGAGAATACTGCAGGGTGTCCTGTTATACAAATGAGGGAACTGAGCTCAGAGAGGTTGAGTTTCTCACCCAAGGCCAGGAAGAAGCCAGGAAGTAGCAGAGCGGGGATTTGAACAAAGTTCCTGGCCATGAGCCTAGACCACCTCACTGACTGGTGGAGGTGCCTCTCCACAGCTACTTCACCTAAGATGACAGTCGTACTCAGAGCTCCCTGATCCCCAAGGGCAGCCTCCTCACACCCTGCCCTGGGCCTCTCAAGGCATCCTGACATCTACTGAGCACCTACTGTATATCCGAGTCTCAGTGAAATTCTTAATGTCTGTTCATTTCACTCATCCTCATCCTAACTGACCACTGGACAGAAGTAGAAACTGAGGCCCAGAGAAGTCATACATCTCACCCAAAAATCACACAAACAGCAGCAGAGTCAGATTTTAATCTGTGAGTTTTGGTGCCAATACCTGCACCCTTAGTCATGGCAGCCTACCCAGGCATCATGCTTTCTACATCCTCACCTTGTGGGTGCTGTTCGTCTGGGTGCCCAGGGCCTTGACTAGAACCCGGCTGGGTTCCACCCCGAGCTGCCGCAGGTCCCACAGGTTGACATTTCGATCGCGGGAGCCTGACAGACAGAGCGTCCCACCCTGGGAGGGGAGTGAGGTGACACCGTTAGGGTCACCTTGACCCATCCCTGCCTGGCCCCTCACCAAACCCCATCTCACCTGGAGCAGCAGCACTGAGTCAATGGAAGCAAAGTGCCCATCAGCCAGGCAGAAGTACTCGGCCCAGCGCCCATCTTCCGCCCAGCGTGACAAGTGCTGCTCCAGCTCAATGCAGGCCGCCGGCCAGTCAAAGTCCTCCTCTGTGGGGGACCATGAGCCAGGTCTTTGGTGGGTGGGAACCCTGCTACCCGCACCAGCTACCCAAGCCCACCTCTGGCTCCAGGGAGCCCAGCCAGCACCGGCCTTGGAGAAACCCCCATCTGGAGACCCCACCCTGCCCCAAGGAGGCCCAGGCTCTAGCTTTGGGACCACTGCCCTGTCCACCTTTGAAGCAGATCTAGGATACTCCTCACTCCAGTTTCCAGACACTGGGGAACTGGAGCCTCAAGGCCACCTTCCCAGTCCTCATCCCCATCCCGGGTCTGGGGGATAGCAGCCTCAGGATGCTAAGGTCTGACCTCAATCCCTCAGGCTGGGCACTGGAGCTAGGACTTTCTGCTTCAGCCATCTGAACCAGACCCAGGAGAGTTTCTCAAGCTACTATCTATAAACCTGGGAGACTTGTCAAGATGCAGAACTCAAGCCCTAGGTGTAGAGATTCAGTTATATGGATGGAGCCCAAGCATCTCTGTGTATCAAGCTACTCAGGAGAGTCCCATCACTTCAAGATCACCAAGCTGTCTTACCCTCAGGGACCAGTGACCTGCCCTGGGGGACAGGGGCCAGGCCCACAAGCCCCTGCCTAAGATTCCGGGCTGGACCCTGGCTTGAGGTTGTGTGATTGCTAGCATCAGGGATCCCAAACTCTAAACCCTACCTTGGGTTCAAGAGTTGCAGGCTCTGGACCTGGGTTGCTGCCTCACCCCAACCTAGGTCAGGACTCTAGGCGTGAGGGGCTTGGGCATCCAGTTGCT